ATTTGAGACAGTGAAGTCGTGGAAATGAGAGCTACCATGCCAGGCAACGTTATCAAGAATATATATAATTTGCCTTTGTTTTATTGAGACCGTTGTCATGGCAGGCGGTCATTAAAGTAATATTCTGGCAAGCTTTAACATCCCCTAGCAAAAAAAGAATTTGCGGTACGCCAAGTTATATATGATATACCTATTTGGAATACCACATAACGTAAGAATAAATAATCCCTATCCGCTACATCCACCTGCGACGTCCACAGACACTAGAGTCGACCAAGGTAGATTGTAATTAAGAAAATCCATGCGCACAACCCTCTTCCATTGATGCTTGGGTTAACAGCAAACGCCCACGCGCTGAAACACCGCAACGTCGGAAGGGATGAAAAGAAAGTTTGTGAGATGGCTTAAGAACAATGCGTAGATGCATGCATTGTGGCCTAACTCAACGGCTTATTAGATACAAGGAAGCCGCCGCCGCCGCCGCTTAAGACCGTTACTGATTTATCATATACTGACAGACTTACCACATGAATGTGAGGCCTGTACTTCCCGGACCAGCGTCCTTCATGATCTCAACTATCTGCGGGATTGTGTAGGTTGGCTCAGTTGCAACCAGTGTGGAGAAGACTGTGGCGAATATCATTAAGCCGCAAACGAGGCTATAAGGAAAACACATACGCGCATTTAGTATCCTTCGTGTAATTATGTGAACTGCTAGAAAATGTCGGTATCTACTCACCTGACTAGATTGTTAATCATTGGCAAAAACATCCCATAGCGAACAGCACTGGTCTTTCGAGTAAAGTAGGCCGCATAGGCGGAGAAAAGGCCCATTCCTGCGGCAGTGTCAAAGGCGTTCTGACACGCCGCCTCCACGTACAACTTCGGATCCGCTAATGTACCTATAAATGGAGAGGATGAGGATAAAGTGTAGCAGCTGTTCCAATGGTTTCTTTCTCTGGCGTCCCGGTCCCCCCCAGGTTTGACTCAACAGTTGCTTTAATGTTCCCTCTCTGGCCTAACCGATGGCAGCTGCTCCAGTGTTCCGCCTTCTCCT